TTTCAGTATATGGCTTTACATTCAAATCTCAATTTAAAGGGGACATATTATGCAAATGTTCAGGTTCATATTTGTATTTTGCACCTTTACTGTTCAAAAATGTCTTTATTTTTCTCATACTGATTGGTTAGCTGGCCTGTTGCGATTGGCCAACCCGCTTAGAGATGTCCCGCCCCTTCACTTATCACGTACAATGTATTAGAGGGCTAGCCAATAGAAGCGCAACTGTTATATAATGATGTCATTATGTTACAGAAGGAGTCCAATCAGGCGTTTCAGGCATGGGAGGAACTTGCACATGCACAAAAACCCATAATACATTACAGTAAAGGGAAACCCCCTAAAGCATAATAAGGCCTCTTTAATGCTTATACTTTTGTACTTTTACAATAGCATCCTTTTGAATGCAGGACTTAAAACATGGTCATGCTACTTTAACTCAAGTAAAAGATCAAAGGACTTTTTAACACCGCTGTTTATAAGCCCGCCAACATGCTGCAGTTACACAATGCAGGACGTCTTGTAATTCCAAGCATTTGAAAGAAAATAGCTCGGGGGTAGATCTCACTTCATCAAATCCCCTTCCTTTAAAACAAGCTTCATCTCTGTCTGAACAGTCAGACGCTGGCTCATTATTTAAAAAAGATTCAGTGTGCAGACACGCTGCTACACCATCAGTCTGCGATCACTTCATTTGTGTGTGTGGGTTATTATTTTCGGTTTTTAGTGAAGCCTCATCTACCCACCTATCTTGTGTGTTTGTACTGCAGGAAGTCATTCTCTAGATGTCTTCAAATGCTTTATCACAGAGCAGGCAGGAACGTGTTGCGTGTGAACTGGGATAACATGTGGGTGCAGACAGAGCGAATCCAGTAGTGATTGCAAAGTATGAGAACGAGTCTTTCCAGTCAGGACATCGTTTTTCATTACAACTCTTTCCCCTGCATTGCATTCTGGTCTACTGAGCAGATTGTTGGGGTATAAATTGGTTCCTCGTACTCTCATGGATTTCTTTCTGATTGACAGTTCAATGCAGGTGCAAAATCTTAGGTCAAGCGAAAATGTATTACTGGGACACCAAACATGACCTTTACCGTGTATGTTTAAACTTCAATGATAATGAGGTTTGAGGTTGTCACATCTTCCACTGCATGCCGGTTTTTACGGACATAATAATTCCCATTTCTTTTAGCTGCAACTTCCTGTATTTAGTCCCCTGCAATTCAAATACTGCTCTTGTGTTTCCCCTCGACATTACCCCATGTTTTTGCATCTTGTTAGTTTGTGAACACACACATCATGCTCACACACTCACATACACATATACACACACACACACACACACACACACACACACACACACACACACACACACACACACACACACACACACACACACACACACACACACACACACACACACACACATACTGTAGACAGGCTGTGTTCTCGTTACTCGTGCACACACTCGCTGTCTCTTGTGCTTCTTGTTACTTTTCAGCATCACTGTCTACAGTGCAGAGAATTTAAGGGAAATAGCATTACTATAGTCACTTGTGGTGCTGTTGTATTGTGAATAGATACAAAGAGATACACCCCACATTGTGTGTGTGTGTGGGTGTGTTACCTTTTCAGTTTGTATGCAGCAGCAAGGAACTGGTTTGTGCTTATCTTCCTGTCAATGAGATGACAAGTACGATGAGCGCACTTCCACTGTATGTGTGTGTGTCTCAATGTGTTTCAATGTGTTTCAATGTGTTTGTGTGTGTGTGTGTGTGTGTGTGTGTCTCAATGTGTTTCAATGTGTTTGTGTGTGTGTGTGTGTGTCTCTCAATGTTACTCAATGTGTTTAAATGTGTGTGTGTGTGTGTGTGTGTGTGTGTTTCTCAATGTGTTTCAATGTGTTTCAATGTGTGTGTGTCTCACAAGAGCTAATCTGCATGGCAGTCTCTGGAACACGCTGTCCTGCAGCTTCTTCTTCTCTTTCCTCGTCTTCTTCATGTTATCCTTCCTCTAACCTTAAAGAGATTTTTTTCTCATTTAATGAAAAGCTTTTATTGTCTTTGACCTACAAATCTTTGTTTCACCTAAAGCCTCTCTCTCTCTGTCTCTCTGCCAGCCTCTATTGGCAGCATATCCGCCCCTCAGGTGTTTATTGACCAGCTCCCCTCTCTTCCCTTTGTATCCACTCATCCTTTCATCCCTCCATCCGGCCAGTCTTTGCCAGTCCTCCCTGGAGGCAGTGCTTTGGCTCGGCTCTGGAGACTGTGCTGTGTTGTTTGTGACACCTGGCCCAGCTCGGCCTGCTTCAGCCCGGTTCGCTTTCACTGCACTGTACACCCATCAGCCGGCTGGCGTCCTGCACCCACCCCCCCCCCCAGCAGCCAGAGCATGGAGCTGCTGTTGGGCTGCAGGAGTGAGCAACAACATGGTGCTTGGGTTTTATATGTATTTAGAATGTACAACATAAACAATTATCATAATGTACTTTATTGTCAGACCATAAATCAAAAAGAAAAACGGGCTACACAAATACAAACAATAATTTACAAACATACTTTTAAGACAGTTGCTGTATACCAATGCTTCCACTGGTATCTTACAGTTCCAAACAATGGTTGTAGTTACCAAGGTTTGACTTGCTTTCATTTGTTAAAGAGATCCTGTTATGCTTCTTGGGGTTTGTCCCATTGCAACACCTACCCTCTTTTTCCACGTTTAACCCTTCCAAAATTGAAGTTCATGTACAATAAATCGTGAAATCCTCTCTTAAGTTGGGCAATTTACTGATTCTTGTCTTTTTCCAGAAAAGAAAACCTTTCCAAATTCCAAAACGTTAAGCATGTGATAAAAAACGGAAAGAAATGTATTCGTTAACAAAGACAACATGAAAAACGCAGCCAGCCAGGCTCACTATCAGCTGTAGGAAAGACTTTCTCGTGTGTGTGCCTTCAGCCTTTTTTCATTTACAACTGTAGTAAAAGGTAGAAAACAATAAAAGGGGAGAAAGTCTAGCTAACATGCAGTACAGGAGGCTTTAAAGAAATGAAAACAGAAGAAAACAAGACATTTCTCACGCTGTCCTTTTTCTATTTATGGTCAGTTCACACACATACTATACATACACATCTTTCCAAATACACTGAGGAGCTTAGTCACATCCTCCAGCACACACACACACACTTCTTCTCTGCCTGAGGGGCTGTACGGAACGGACGACATACACAGATATAGGCTGTACACACACACACACACACACACACACACACACACACACACACACACACACACACACACACACACACACACACACACACACACACACACACACACACACACACACACACACACACATGCATACGTTGACACTTGTATCAACTGATAAGACTGTCTGTCCTTGCAACAGAGCTCTGTGTGATAGACGGTTTATGAAGTCATGATGAGACTGGATGTAACTGACAGGATTGCTTATCGTGTGTGTGTGTGTGTGTGTGTGTGTGTGTGTGTGTGTGTGTGTGAGCGTCTGCATGTGTGTAGTATGTACTCTGCCCTGTCAGTCGCTGCATTGCCCTCCATCGCCCCTTTGCTGTCTTTCTCTCTTCTTCTCTTTCAGTATCTTCAAATGCCAGAAACATGCATTAGTGAGAAGAGAGGGATACAGAAGGAGAAGAAATATTGAAAGATATGTGGGAGAAAAATAAAAAGTGAAGAGTTGTGGTATGTGTGACAGCAAAGAGAGGAGAGAGCACGACCGATAATAGAGGAAGAAAAATGGCAGCTGAGAGGAAGGAGTGAGGATAAATTAAAATAGAGAGAAAGGGAGTATTATAGAAAAATAGAAAGATGGGAGAAAACGAGACAAAGCGAGCAAAGGATGGAGAGAGAGGGGGAGGGAGGATGGAAGGGAGGAAGTGGATGAATAGAGTAATAATGGCTCAGTGTGAGAGCTGTTGTGGAAAAAGAGAGAACAGCTGAGTGAAGAAGAGAACAAAATGAGGCTGAGGGCACTCAGACAGAGAGAATTAGACACACTGCAGAGTGTGTGTGTGTGTGTGTGCGTGTGTGTGTGCTGTCTATGTGTATATAAGGCGCTTTTGAAAGGGCTTTTTTTAAAACAAATAAATAGACAAATGTGATGGCACTGGAAACCCTACTCAGGTGTAGAGCTTCAAAAATAAACTAGTACATGTTCTGGTTTTTTGATTTTTTGGTGAATGTATTTGATCACTAATATGTTCATGTGTACGAGAGAGTTTTATCCTTTTTCCACCAGATTTGTGCACATATTATTTTTAAGGCGATAGACTCCTTTCTTGTTGCCAATAGATGGATATGTATTTTGTTGCGTCTCCTAAAGCCAAATAACTGTATACATTTCTGGATATCTTAAGGCATAAATACTCTTAACGTCATTTCCGTGAGTGGCTCCTTAGACCGTGCGTTTCAGAAATGAAACCACTTTCATATACTATACTGCCTGTAGTTGTGTTGATGCGTCCCTTTCAAAGCAGGGTTAGTTGTCTTTCTTTTGTAACTGTTTCCTATTAATTCTCTTTTACAAACATTCATTGAAGATTGTTGGAAAAGTGGAAAAACAAACGGAACAATTTTGAGTTTTTTTTCGTTTCTCTTGGGGTTGAAGTGTGTTTATGAATATTGAGGTGTCCATGTCAATGACTGCATGAAAGCCAGATGTTATTGGGGGTTAGAGGGTTTTTGTCCAGTTGGAGAGGGGATTTAGAGATTAAGATGGAGGTGTGTGTGAGAGTGTCTAAATGAGAGTGTGATGACTGCAGATCTAATGCTGCCTCCATCCCATCTTTCTTCCTCATAGAGTTATCACTAACAGAACTCCTCACTCATTAGAAATATGTTTTAGCACAGCAAGGGCTTAATGCGCTGTAAATGTGTATAATGAGCTTTATTTATTGAGTATTTACTATCTTACAATATGCGACATAGTGATCATGTATCCCTTTTTTTGTTTGTTTCCTTCCCAGGCGGAGATTGTGAAGCGCCTCAGTGCCATCTGTGCTCAGATCATCCCTTTCCTCTCTCAAGAGGTAAGTGTCACCACTGCACACACACGGACAGATATATGCACACACACATAATCAAGTGACGATTATTCACACCCCAGGCCTCTATCATATTCACATTTAGAATAAATAATATCTCCAGAATACATCAAGTCAAAATCCATGAAGAGCCGAATATACACTCAGAAGTTCTCTTACTTAAAGAGCCTGTGACACGAGTTTCCCCCATCATCCAAACCCATCAATTTGAGCAAATATTGTCCCCTTGAAAACCGTTACTGAACTGATTTTGGATATTTGTACTTTGATAACCATTAATCTGCCCTTCAATGTTGACCATTTTCTGGATCTTCTCGGGGATTCTTCAAGTCCCGCCAAATTATGTGTGACGTCATTGCGGGCACAGCGCTCCAGCTGCACCGTTCAGGATCCCAGCATCTGCATGTAAACGCACGATGGCGCACACAGCAGCAAGCTCAGACAGCGATGACAGTTTAATGTTGAACGTGTCTGAGAGCTCATATGAGGCTGAAGGATCGGTTTATTGTATCTGTTAGAAGTTTAGGAATTAGGTGCGTCAATATGGGCGATCATACGGTCATGTAGCCAGTGGTGGAATGGGACTAAAAATCATCCCGGGACTCTCGACCGGCCCACTTCGGTACCGCGAGTAAATTGTCAACGGGGGGAGTGGGGGATGTCAGGGGCGGCGGGTGCTGTAGATAGTAAATGTAAATATGCAAATATGTGTGTCACTGCATCCTGGTAAAATACAAATATAATGTATAATGTCTGTGTCTTTGACATTAGCGCTGCTCGCCACCTGTGCCCTGCACTACGAAGCCAGTTCAACAGACCCTGGATATGTTTGAGTAACAAACAAACTAACAACAACAAACTAACTAACGAGATCTCGCTAAGCGGTCCTACGACGCTGGTTATCAACTCGGTAAATCAAGCCAGGGTTTCTCTCTCCAGTTCACGTCTAAGACACGAGTGGATCTGACTTTAATTACATTTGACTCGAGTGTTTCGTCAACATAATGTGTTGCTTAAAATAATACTTCTGCTGCATACAGTATGTGACACTGTAGTGTTGCACGGCCAGATACGGCTGGCTGGAGAAGCTGACTCAGATAAGGAAATATATGATATTATATGATCGATGATCTGATTGATGATGTAATATGAATGATAAGTGCGACACGTCGGCGTCTTCTCTGCATACGGCAGTTTAAACTGTATTTCCTTTATCCTGTAATATGACTTGAGAGATTTAAACTCCGCACACTGAGTTGATCTCTTTTCTATAGACGCCGGAGGCGGGCAGCGTCAGGTAAAAAAAGTTATTTAGCCTTCCCAAACCTGAGCCTCACACGCCGCCTATTAGGGGATGTGCTAGTGATTTATCCGACCGGCCCACTTCGGTACTGGCACATCGGGATTGGTCCCGATGGCCAGTCCGCCACTGCACCCAGCCCACGTAAGCTGTCAACGGGGGGAGCCTCACTGCGGGGAAACGGTGGACCTAGTGTCCCGATCGGAGTGGGAATAATAATAATCCGTGCATTTTATCCATTAATTTCCCCAACATTGTGGTGAAAAAACCACACGTTTAATCCATGTTGGTGTACTACAACTACAAAAAGCATCGGTTTGTTTTCTCATCAGGAAATGCAGACCGGCTCAAACAAACGATTTTTAATCATCATCCTCACGATCATTTAATGTATCATATGTTCGCCGAATTGACATGAAAGCACTAATAAATGTAGTTTCATCCACTTGAGTTTACAACTACAAAAATAATCGATTTGTTTTTATATCACATCCTACGGGAGGAAATTCAGCAGCTCTCACTACCGATTTGTAATCCTAATGTAATCATCATCTTCACCACGATCATTTATGTTTATGTTCGCCGAATTGACATGAAAGCACTGACAAATATGAATATACTGTAGTCAACTTCATTAAAACGTTATTAACGTGCCTAAACTCAGTAATTCACCATTTCTACGCATGACAACACACTTTGTCCGTGTTTGGCTCTCTTGCCGCACAGTGAAGCGTTCCCGCATTGACGTCACTTCCGGCTTCCCCCAAAACTTCAAAATGAGTCGAAGGAATTTCCCCGCGATGTTCGAAATTATTGATATTTAACGGAACGTTATCGCACCATCTTTTTTAAACTGACGGTTCGAGATTACTAGTAGCCCAATATTTCATTGCACAACAGTTGTTGGGATGCTGTCACAGGCTCTTTAAGTAAGCATAGACAAAAGAAAACATGGCCAATTTGTTACAACATGTGTCTTTGGTACTGCAACAACAATGCCAGTTTAAGAGTTTCATTCCTTCAGAAATGTTTTGATTTCCCTTTATGATGAGTTTTGAAGCTATAGTTTTGCCATCTGCCTCATGCTAATGCTCTGTGTTCGAAAAGCAGGTCAATCATCAA